GAACTCCCCAGTCCTGGAGTAGGGATAGGGAGCAGCTTACATGCCAAGCTTATGTATTTATACCTGTACTTAGTGCACTGGGACACTTAGTACAAAGCAAAGCTTTGTTCAGCCAATGAACAAATCTCTTACTGCTTTCTTCCTCATGTTGCCTAGACGTATTTGCAATTTGCTCAGATATGGCTCTAATAACTTGCTTGTACCCCTGGATTAAGTGTTCAGGGTATGGGCTTCTGTGTGCTCAACTCTGTGGGTCTGGATGACCAAGGGGTGCTGGGCATGTGCCACCCTGCCCTGCCTGGTCCCCTACAGGGTCATGTGCAACTCTTTATTTAACACTTTGTGATACATGTTCCAATCAGCCATTGTTTCTGGGGGAGTCTGGGAGGGGAAAAAGCAAGCACAGTGGAAATCGGTAGTCCTCACTGATTCCTTGGCCACATTTCAACAGGGTTTGCTGCTTAGCATTGTCCCAGCATAGCCCACCCAAGCCCACCACCTCTCACATTCCCATGCACTCAGCTGTGTCTGGCAAACAGCACTCTTCATTTCACAGACAGAGAGAACAGACACTCTTGCTGGGGCCTTTTTCTGAAGTCCTAACATTCACAATACAGGAGTGGGACAGACCCTATTACAAACTGCCTTGTGCTGTTGATTTATTGCTTTAAAATTGATACCCCTATCCTTGACTTAGAGAAATATATACAGTACAATAAACCAGGGATGCCAACTGGAGACCCATACATCTTTCTGCAATCCTTGAAAGTACTGGGCTCAGTTGGAGACTAATGCCTGAAAACATTTTTAAAGGCAGTACAGAGGCAGGCATTTGGCACAGTGGTTAACACTTCGACTGGGACCCCCATACTCCACACTGGAGTGCCTGGGTTCCACGCCCAGCTCCAGCTCCTGCCTCTAGATTCCTGCTGATGTAGACCCTGGGAGGCAGCAGTGGCGGCTCACATGACTGGATTCCTTCCACTCACATAGGAGATCCAGGTGAGTTCTGGTCTCCCAGCTTCTGGGGCTGTTGTGAGCATTTAGGGAGTGAGCCAGTGGACTGAAATTCTCTGTGTGTATGTGTGTGTGTGTGTGTGTGTGAGACTCTCAAGTTTTAAAAATAGAGTGTAACTTGTATCTGCATCCCTGCTGCCTTAAAACACTGGCTCTTCCTTTATTTCAGTTTCCCACATGGCCCCCTACAGGTACTGGCCTCACCAACAACTGTTTCCTTATCTGTAAGTGGGCGCTGCTTTCCAGACGGAAACTCTTGGAGACTAAAGACTATCATCTCACACACATACACACACACACACACACATACATCTCTGCAACTCTGGCTTCCATGGGGCCTAGAAAATAGAACTTGGATGGCAGATATTTGGATTTCAGTTCATGTTGTCCAGTGTTATTCACCTCGTTGACAGCTTTTGTCGCATCCCTGTACAAACTGATTAATGTCTGTACTTAATTTGTCTTGAGTTTTCTCTTATGTAAACTGTTTCAAAAGGAAGCATTTACATCTGTACCATAAATAAAAAGCCAGTACCGCTTATCACAGTGTCTATAAAAATAAATGTATTGAAAACAAAGCAATGTTATTTGTCTAAAATTAAAATAAGCAAATAAATAGAGAGTAATAAATATTTAGTAGATTCAAGCTGTTGCAGGCAATTAGGGGAGTGAACCAGTAGATGGAAGACACGTCCGTCTGTCTCTCTCTCTTTCACTGTCATTCTTTCAGATAGAATTTCAATAAACAGAATTGAGGGGCTGGCATTGTGGCAAAGTGGATTGTGTCACCACCTGCAATGCGAGCATCTCATATGAGCACTGGTTCAAGATCCTTCTGCTCCACTTCTGATCTAGCTCCTTGCTAATGTGCCTGGGAAAGCACTTGAGCCTCTGAATCCATGCAGGAGACCAGAGGAAATTCCAGGCTCCTGGCCCTTGTGGCCACTTGGGGACTGAGCCTGCCAATGGAAGATACAACTCTCTCTCTCTCTCTGTAACTCTGCCTTTCAAATAAACAAAATAATTGAAAGGCAGAGTTACAGAGAGAGAGAGAGGGAGAATCAGAGAGAGATCTTCCATTTGCTGGTTCACTCTCCAAATGGCTGCAATGGCTAGAGCTGTTAGATTTGAAGCCAGGATCCAGGAGCTTCTTCCAGGCCTTCCATATGGGTGCAGGGGCCCAAGCACTTGGGCCATCTTCTGCTGCTTTCCCAGGCACGTTAGCAGGGAATGGATTGAAAGTGGAGCAGCCAGAACTCAAATCAGTGCCCATATGGGATGCTAGAGCTACAAGCTTTACCCACTATACTAACAGCAGCAGTCCCAATATTTTTTAAAATATATTGAATTGATTCATAAAAATGAAATCCTCACTTTAAAAAAGTAGAATGGCTTATTACCAGCTAGTAATACAAAATAAGTTTAATATCACATGATTGGAATTGACCGTGCGTTTCTAAGTCAATTACATTACAACATTTTTCAATTTGGATGGTAACTCACTGAGAACCCCATCTCACCCACATCCAGAGTCAGGAAGACCATGTCACTGTTCCCCAAATGGTAAGTTTTTAAAAGTTAAATTAAAATGTTTTGGAAGTTGGCATTTGGCCAGAACATGGGTTAAGTTGCTCTCATTCCATATCAGAATGCCTAGGTTCAATACTGGATCCATGTCTGACTCCAGCTTCCTGCTAATGTAACCCCTGGAGGCAGCCATAATGGCTCAAGTGACTGGGCTCTACCACCCATGTGGGAGACCTACATTGAGTTTCGAGCTCCTGGCTTTAGGCCCTGGACCCAGGGTCATTGCAGGCACATGGACAGTGAACCAGCAGATGGAAGTGTTCTCTCTCTCTCTGTCTAAAATTAAAAATAAATAAATATTCGTTATTAAAATCTTTGTATGCACTTTTTTTAAAAGATTTTATTTATTTACTCAAAAGCCAGAGTTATAGAGACAGAGGCTAAGAGAGAAGAAAGAAAGAAACAGAGAGAGGGGTCTTCCAACTGCTGACTCACTCCCCAGATGGCCGCAACAACCAGAGCTGAGCCAATCCGAAGCCAGGAGCCAGGAGCTTCCTCCGGGTCTCCCACACAGGTGCAGGGGCCCAAGGAGTTGGGCCATCCTCTGCTGCTTTCCTAGACCATAGCAAGGAGCTGGATCAGAAGTGGAGCAACTGGGGTTCAAACTGGCGCCTATATGGGATGCCGGCACTGCAGGTGGTGGCTTTACCTGCTTCGCCACAGCACCAGCCTCTGTATGCACTTTTAGTACACATGAGATAACATTTGTGGTCATGACTTACTTCATGTGAATTATGAAACACAATTATTTAACAAATCTGTGAATCCACCATCCACTGTAAGAATTTTACTAACTGTGCTTTACTTCCCTCCACAGCTGAAAATTGTCTGGAATTCAAATTCCTTTGTTTTTGAAAACAGTTGAACCACCATGACCTTCCTAAACAGTATATTGTATATATTTGCTTGACCTTGAGTTCTATAAAATTGCCACCATGCTATCAGTGTGCTCTAGGAGACGGTGTAAATTAATGAGAAGTACATACACACAAAATGTTTTTCCAGGTGCAAAAGAACACATTCAGACTGCAGGTGAGCATGCAGATGAAAAGCGTGAGGAAGAAACTTGGTCACCAACTCCCATTCTGCTCCAGTCAATCCCAGCTTTCATGCCCTCTCCTGGCAATGGAGCTTTTTAAAAAAGATTTAGTTCATTTATTTGAAAGACTAAGGGACAAAGGGGGCAGACAGAGAGAAAGAAATCTTGACTCCACTGGTTCACTCCCCAAAAGCCCACAATAGCCAGGGCTGGGCCAGGCCAAAGCCAGCATCAGCAACTCCATCTGGGTCTCTTGTGTGGGTGACAGGGGTCCAAGGACTTGGGCCACCCCCCACTGCTTTCCCAGGCACATTAGCAGGGAGCTGGAGCAGAAGTGGAGCAGCTGGGACTAGAACAAGTGTGCTGATCTAGGATGCTGGCATTGTAAGTGGTAGCTTAACCTGCTGTGCCACAATTCCAGCAACTGGGAGTGGAATTTAAAGGGTAGATGAAATTAAGAGTTGTCCCTCTACCTTTCACACCCCAGATACTTCCTATGCAGAAGAACGGTAGTAGCTTGTACACCCAAGACCACTCTCCTTGGAAAAGACTGCTTTCAGGGCTGGCCCTTATCTGGTGTCCAGGAGCTTGAATTTTACATAGTTCCCTCCACATTCTCTGATAAGAGTGGCTCACTGTGCCTTAACAGTCCCAGCAATATCATTTGTGTGATATTGCTTTCCTTCTGAGAGTCTGAAATTTTGATTTGTGCTATGTAATGGATGCCTGCATGGCCAACTCCCACTGAAAACCGTGGACTCTGGGTGTCTAAGGAGCTCCTGTGGGAGACAGCAGTTTGTGTGTCTTCTCACAACTCATTGCTGGGAGAATTAAGTGCATCCTGTGCAGTTCTCTGTGAGATGATTCCTGAAGCCTGCTCTGGGTTCCTCTGGACTTTGCCTCAAGTGTTGCTGATTTGGGTTGTATCTCCTCACTGTGATGAATCATGCCATCAATATGACCATGACACTGACAGCTGTGTCCTTCCACGAAATGTCAAACCTGGGGGTGATCTCGGGGACCACTGCTGGCTGCTCCTCCAAACCCTTTTCCCCTGGTCAGAGGCTCTTCTGCTTCTGATTTATACTTCAGAGAGCCCTGTCTCTCTCTCTCTCTCTCTCTCTCTCTCTCTCTCTCTCTCTCTCTGTATCACACACACACACACACACACACACGCATGCACGCACATGCACACACAGGTCCCTCTGACACTTGGGATCTGAGGTTAGGTGCTGGCCTGGTACGACGTCTCAGCCTAAAGGCCAGCTCTCACGACTATCACCATTCAGGCCCCAGGGAAGTCCACTGCACACCTCTTGCCTTAGATTCTAGAACTCAGGGCCAAATACCACAAAGGTTGTGTGTTGTCCCCTGCTGACAGCCTCAAAGCCGGACATTGCTGCTGGGAGAATTTGAGTGTAGGTTCCAGGGTAACAGAAATTACAAATTAATTGATTTGTCAAATCCTTCCTCTCAGCTTAGATGCAACAACGGATTCTTGCATAACAAATGAGCGTTCCCAATAGTGCCAACAATTTGCTTTCCTGCTTTTCTTTGTGTTGCATTTCCCGACTGTGGATAAGAATGAACGCAGCATTCGCAACACTTGCACATGAACGGCAAAGAGTATTCCACAACAGTAAGTGATTCATGTGACTGTTAAGTTTCTATGTGTGTAGTTTCAGACATACATGTGGAGCATAATATTAGTTCTTTATGGGGCTGGTGCTGGGGTGCAGTGTGCAGCAATAGCATCCCATATGGGCACCCAGTTGTTCCACTTCCCATTCAGCTGCCTGCTAATGGCCCTGAGGAAAGATGGCCCAAGTGTTTGTGCCCCTACACTCTTTTGGGAGAGCTGGAAGAAGTTCCTGGCTCCAGGCTTTGACCTGGCCTGGCTCTGGCTAATGTGCAATCTGAAGAAAACCAGCAGGTGGAAGACCTCTTTCTGTGTGTGTGTGTCTCTCTCTGTCTCTCTCATTCTCTTTGTAGCTCTGCCTTTCAAAAAATAAATAAATCATTTTTAAAAAATGATTCTTTACATTGGCAACAAGATGGACATTGAGTGCTAAAATTCTAAGTTGTATTTGTATGAAGCATTCTATCTCTAATATGCTTTTTATTTTTTTATTTGAAAGTCAGAGTTACACAGAGAGAGGAGAGGCAGAGAGAGAGAGAGAGAGAGAGAGAGAGAGAGAGAGAAGGAGAGGTCTTCCATCCAATGGTTCACTCCCCAGTTGGCCACAATGGCTGGAGCTGAGCTGATCTGAAGCCAGGAGCCAGGAGCTTCCTGCAGGTCTCCCACACAGGTGCAGGAACCCAAGGACTTGGGCCATCTGCTACTGCTTTTCCAGGCCACAGCAGAGAGCCAGATCGGAAGTGGAGCAGCTGGGTCTTGAACCGGTGCCCATATGGGATACTGGCGCTTTAGGCCAGGGTGTTAACCCACTGTACCACAGCCCGGCCCCCAATATATATTTTTTAAATTTAAGTTAGCAAGTTTCACCTTCATGTATGTACTTTTATTGAAAAATTTTGATGTTGTTAACCATAATTATATTTTATATGATATTATATATTATATTTTGTCTCTTAGTACTTATAGCAATTTTGAATATTTTTGAAGAAAGAAAACTTTCACTGAAGTAATATTTGAAAAATACTGAAATGTATTCATATTTTAAGATATGTTTTTATTTGAATAGTTACTTTTTTAATTCTTAGATAATTATTGCCAAAAGGATACATTTTGTAAAGATTAATTGACTTGGAGATTTTCCTGAAGTGAAGGCAAAACAATTTATGAAATGAATAGAAGATAACACACGGAGCATGTCTTTATTTTATTACCCATCCAAATATCAACAGCTCACCACTAGTCCATCCAGAAACATACCGTAAGATGTAACTTCATCTTTGATGTTGTCAAGACTCCCAGTCCTAGCAAAACCACAACTTTATTCATCTTCCTAAATTGTTAGGAGGGTCTTTTTGTCAAGACAGAAGCAATTCTGGAGATGGCAGCTTGAGCTGTACTTTTAACACACGTGGACACCTGGTACATGGTCCCCATGTTTCCCTAGTTCTGCCCGTGCTGGGACAGCCCTGCTTTCTCCCTGCTTCACCCATAACCATAGAAGGATGGGATTTCTAGTGTGGCAAGGCTGTTGGAGCAGACTCCCATGCAGCTGTGTAGACCAGGCCCGCTGAATCAGTGTGCGAGTGTCCCTGGAGCTGCCCTAGGGCCAACCCAGAGAAAAGCCCTGGGAGCCTCCCCAGGGGCCTGAGCAGGAGGCCCAGGGATGCTTCCTCACATGCACTCTGAGGTCTGCACGCTGTGCTCACACACAGGCATGCTGAGTATGGGGTGGAATTTAGCTCTGCTGTATTCTGCCACAGCAGCGAGCAGATTCACTTCACCTCTTTGATCTTGTCTGTATGCATGTGATGTGAAGTGGAAATGTCGCTTCTCACTTGCCAGGGGCTGTGCTGAAAACTGGGATGTACATCTCAACACGCAGCTCAGCCCTTGGGATGTGGCTTAACAGGTGATAACCAGTATTTTCAGATGGTGAAATGGAGGAAAGATGTTAGACGATGGGCTAGAGTCTTACAGATGGCTAGAAGAATGCAGAACGCAGGCATGGCGATGCCCAGCCTGAGGTTTCTCCATTTCCAGATCCCGAACGCCCAGGGGTCCCCTGAGGTCTGCTTGGTCCGAAACCCACGCCGAGTGTAGGTGGCCCGCTGTCCTCTGAGTGCCAGCTCCCACACCCCAGGATCTGGTTCTGAGGATTTAAAGCCAGGCTGGGTGCACACTGGAGGCCTCCTCACCTGTAAGTTATTCTACCCATAATTAGATTTCTTTCCATTGTGGGGAGCCAGCACGTGTAAATCCACAGAAACCTGGGCCAGATGATATAAGGGGCACCTGAGCCTCCGCGCTGCCTAAAATGCATCTTCCAGGAAAATGATTTCTCTGGGCACATAACTTACTGCGGTCCCACGATAACCATAGCTCAGGCTCTGACCATTCCCGTAATGCCATGTTCAAGTGATGTAGTGTTCACGGCTCCCTCGGCAGCCCCCTTGCCTTCCCGAACCTGCAGTCTGAGTCGGTCATGAGCCTCACCCCACACCTGTCAGTGCTGGAGATGACAAATGACAGGGTGGGAGGCGGATGTGCTCCTTCCCAGGCTATGATGGCTCTGGCTCAGAAATTCTGAGCCCTACAGGTGAGCCACCCCGAGGCCAGTCAGGGCATAAACTGCTCTCTCCATGTGCAAGGATGAAATTATGCACCTACCTCACACCATGCACAGTAACAAATCCCACATGCATTAGGGATCTGAGCATAAGATATAAATATGTTATCAAAAAGATCACATCCATCTGTTCATCTATCGATTTATTCTGTCTAATCTTGGGATGGGGAAAGCCTTCCTAAATCTGGCACCAAACCCAGAAGTCACAAAACAAGTTTGGCAAATTTGACCACATAAAAATTTAAAAAATCAAAACTGTATTGTCAAAGGCACTGTAAAGAAACCAAAACAAATGACAGCCTGTAAGAAAGGATTTGCAACGCATTCTAGTGGGAAAATTGTGAATATCCATAATATACTATAAATTCCTCTGAACCAATCAGAAACAACAAAAATGGGCAATGGGCAATATACCCCCCCAACACACACATCACACACACACACACACACACACACACACAGATGGATCCTTAAAGATACAGGAAGAGAAATAAAGATACTCAGCCTCATTGACAACTACAAAAATTTAAATGAAAACAACAGTTGGGCATTGTTTTTATTCTTGGTTATCCAATAAAAAAGTATAACCTTCAGAACTGATGGAAGCAATGAGCAAGCATGCACCAACAGGAGGAAGGCATGGCACCACCACCTTTGTGGAGGTGATTTGGTAATAGATTAAAGAACTTTACATGTGCTTATTGAATAATCCAGACATTGTTCCTCTAGGAATTTATCCTCCAAAAATCATAGCATTTTTATCCTATAAAAATCATGAATGTGCACAAGAGCATTGTCACTGCTTGTAAGAGCAAAACTATGTGAACATTTAAATTTCTGCCCCAAATCATGGGTGAAGTGAATTAAAGTGCATCTGTGTAATGGGATTGCACTCTACTCCCAGGCATAAGAGTGATTTGGATAACCAGATGTAATTGTTTGGAGCATTTGTCACATGCTAGGCACTGCTCTGAGTGCTTTATATATGTGACCTCTTTTAACCTTCTCAATGGCATCACGAAGTAAGCAAGGTCATCCTCATCCACGCATTGCTGAAGAGGTACAGAGAGGTTGTCAACCTGCCTGAGGCTACACAGCTGCAAGAAATCAGAGCTGGCATCTGAACCAGTATCTGAACCAGGTTCCCAAGGCACCGGCTTGCAATGGGACCAAAAATAAAATGTAGATGGCCAATGATTAAAAAGCAAGTTGCACAAATATCTAACATATCCGCATTTGGAGCAAAATATTTGTGACTACGTGTATAATATATTATGAATATATGTGTGTGTGCATTATTATAATTGGAGCAAAGCTAATTCTGTGGCAATGACTAAAGGGGCAGCAGAAGTAGGTTTACTTCTCTATTTTTTTCCAAATGGGATTAAAAAGTAAAACTGACTGCTCAGTCCTTCTGTCTCTATTTTATTTTTTATTGCCACTGCCCACTTGACTTGAAGGAAATAAAAATGGCCTCATCTGATTAAAAAAAAATACATCTTTGAAAAATAACATCCATTCCATGCCAGAAACAAAAAACTCAGGTTAGAAATGTAGCTATAGTGAATAAATTATTTTAAATAAAGGTTTTGAAAATGATTTAAAAATCTGTACAGGAGCCAATGCTGTTGCATGGTAGGCTAAGCCTCCACCTGTAGCACTGGCATCCCATATGGGCTCTGGTTCATGTCCTGACTGCTCCTTTTCTGATCAAGGTCTCTGCTTATGGCCTGGGAAAGCAGTAGAAGACGGCTCAAGTCCTTGGGTCCCTGCAACCATTTGGAAACCCAGAAGAATCTCCTGGATCCAGGCTTTGGATGGGCCCAGCTCCTTCCATCGCAGCCATTTGGGGAGTGAACCAGTGAATGGAAGACCTTTCTTTCTGTCTCTGTATCTGTGTATGTAACTGTACCTCTCAAATAAATACACAAAGATCCCTTTTAAAAAGTAGTACAAGTTGAGCATCCCTAATGTGAAAATCCAAAATTCAAAGTGCACCAAAATCTAAAACTTGGAGCACCCATGTTGCTCCAAGCATTGTTTTCAGATGATTCCATGTACAAAGATTTTGTTTGATGCACAAAATTTTTTAAATAAAAAATAAAGTTACCTTCAGTCTATTGTAAAAAGTAACATGAAATACAAGTGAATTTTATGTTCAGACTTGGGACCCATCCCCAATATTTATCATGTTTATGCAAATATTCTAAAATCCCAAAAAAAGTACAAATTGTAAAAACTTACCGGTCCCAAGCCCTTCATACAGGAATATGCAACATGTGTGCTGTTGCTATAGAGATGTGGAGTTGCAGTCTGATAGAGCAGACTGGTCATCTTGTCCATTTCAGAAGTTGGTGCCTCCTTGTGCCAGCCACACTGCAATGGCATCTCTTAATTTTCTCGCCAGTAGCCTGTTTCCATGACTTCCTACCCCATTCCCACATCTCAGGGGCAGGAGTCACACGCAGCTGGCTGTCCTGACCAGGTGACATTAAGGGTGCAGAGTCACAAGATCCACACCCCTGGACATGACAGGCACTTAGGGCTCTGTGGATGGCCCAGTGCAGGATACCAGGTGTGCCCAGCAGTTTGGCATGACCCAGCTGCAGCTACCAATCTGTGCACGGCCTCGTTAGCCTCTTGTGAAGTAATTTGGGTGGGCCTAGACCAAAAGTTCTCATCCAGGGGTGATTTTGTTCCCTCTTGGCAATGTCTGGAGACGCTTTTGGTTGCTGCGGCTGGGAAGGGTTGCTGCTGGCACCTTGTGAACAGGGACCGGGGATTTTACTAAACATCCTACAGTACAGAGAATAGCCCCATGGCAAATTATCCAGCCCCAGATCTCAACAGTGCTGAAATGTCAAAACCTACCCAGATTAGGTTCCTCCAGAAGGCCTTGCAGCAGGAAGGGTGGGGGCTCCAGTCCCTCTGCTGGTGTGCTCAGATTCTAGAGGAGATTTCTTCAAGGCCACATGAAAGATCCAGCCCCGTTCTCCCTGGGGGACCATCTTTCCAAGGAGCTGGAAGGGATTAAGTTACAATGATGACTGCTCCACAGATGACCAAGTGCTTCCTCCTGTGCCTGGAGTCTGTACAGACTGGGGTCCTCAGCACTCTCCTGTTGTGGATGGAGCAGGGTCAGGGAAAAGCAGGAGGAGAGCTGCGCCTGCTTCTCATTCTCCATGAAATGAGTTCCTTGTCCCTGAACTCTCTGTCCTTTGATCTTAACTGACAGTTCAAACTGCATTTATTCCGAGCTCTACTGATTGAAATCTTTCTCCTCCAGACGCCAAGGCAAACATCTTTCTCTCGATGCCATAGTGAACCAAGCTCAGAAAACGTTCCTGGATGCTGTAAGATCAGATGGGTTAACTGTGGCTTTCATACAACTGATAAATATATGTAGGAAGGAAACTGTGATGCAGGTGGTGAAATGGGTACCACTGGTCAGGTATTTATTATACGTTATTTCAGTTGCGTCTCATGACAATTCCTTGATATAAGTATTACAATTAGCCTTATTTTTCAAAGGAGGCATTCCATCTCAGAAAGGTTAATTAACTTGGCCAAGTTCATGTAACTAGTAGGTTAGGAGAATTGGAACTGCACACCAGGTTTGTCTCAATCCAAGCCAGGCCTTTTGGGAATTTGTTGAGCTCCTGGAACAGGGACTGGGGACTCTGTGGGGTATGATGGATTTGACAAAGGCAAATGTGAACTGAACAATGGTAGACTAGTGGATGAATCACGTATGTGGGGATAGGTTAGTCCTAGATTCGTGGGGGCACTGTCCCCATGCCCATGAACAGGCCAATTGCAGGTTGAATTGAAGGAGTGACAGGACAGTGGCCACTAGAGTATCTCATTTCTGGGGATTAGGGGCAGAAGAATGGAGAAAACTGGTATTGAGAAAGAGAAGGCAGTGGTCATGGGTGGGTGCTTAGAAAGTCTGGTGGACCAGACTAGAATGAAAATGATGCTGGGGGCCAAGAGGTGCTATTCCCTTTATCACATGTGTGCTCTCTGACTGGTCATGGATTGTTCCATGTTAAACAGCATGTGCCCCACCCCCATCCCCAGTAGACATCTCCCTTCTGTCAATGAGACAGCCAACCATCTGTGGGTAGATTTACTGCACTAACTTCCTGGCAGGTGTCTGCTCAGAGTGTGATCTGGGTTTCTGTATCACTGGCACTCAGTTCAGTGTTTTGTGGTACGGCTGGAAGAGGAGGCCTTGTATGTATGCCATAGTGCACCTGGCCAGGAGGCATGTAGTCAACGAAGAGAAAGGGAGGAGCTTGAGACCTGGACCCATACCTCCAGGAGGGCCTCTGTATCTGCATTGGGCCAGGAGGAGTGTGCTCAGGACATTTGCTGAGGGATTATATGAAGAAAGAACCACGTTACTTTTGGACCTTTGGGGTGAGCCTTTAGCTTTCTTTCAAAGAAAATTTGGAAAAAATTTGGAAATGAGGAAGAGTGCTTTTGGCCAAGTAAGATAGGGAATAAGAAGGGGCAAAATTTGACTTCATTGTGTCAACTTAATACATTATTGCTTTAGAATACTAAAAAATTTATAACTGAACTTTATTGAGTGATTCAATGCCACGAGCCTGCCACTGGACGAACCCTCCCATGAGGCCACCTTGCATAGGCTCCAGGCTCCAGGTATTCAAACACTAATGTGGGGGTCACTGTGAGGAATTTTATAGATGTCATTAAAGTCCACGACTAGTGTCTGTACACAAGGGAGGCTATCCTAGACCGTCTGGGTGAGACTGGGTCAATCTGCTGCAAAGCCTTCAGGGAAGAGCCAAGGCACCCAGGAGAGGAGATTCCGTCTGTGGACAGCAGGTCCTGCGTGTGCCGGAGAGCTCCACCCTGCCCTTCCTCACAGGTTCCCCACAGACTTCAGACTTGCCTATTCAGCCCCAAAACTGCAAAAGCCACGCCTTTGTGATAGATCTCAAATGTCTATTCTACTAATTCTGTTTCTTGGATTGAACCTGGGCTGATCAACTTACCTAATCCTCTTTGAACACTTAATCCTCTTAAGAACACTGTTCCAGGTACTGAAATTCTTCCCTTTAAACTGCAGCACACAGAGGGCAGGTAGTGCCAGCCAGCAATGAAGCCAAGATTCAAACCTGAAGCCTCTGGGCTGAAGGGCCCAAGTTCTCATGCTGATAAGCACTAGTCATCTGAGGACAAGTTGGGTAGCTATGATTGGCTGCCTAGGATCATGGGAGGAAGGTGATAGCAGCCACCCAAGGCAAGTCACTCTGGAAGTTGCAACAGCGTTCCCAACCACGATCTATCTTTCACCTTGAATTCCTCCAAACTCATCTACAGAGAATGTTCCTGGTACTTTGCACTTGTTGATAGTTTGCTTTGGAGTTATCATCTAGTGGTTCATTCTGTTGAAGTGTTTTCTCAAAGGTTATTAGAATTCACTGAAATGTTCCCTGTCATTCTTCCAAATGGAGTCGTGCATTTAAAATGACATTGGGGTTACTCTTCTTTTTTAGATTTATTTATTTATTTGAAAGGTAGAGTTACAGAAAGGCAGAGGCAGAGGCAGGGGGGTGGGTCTTCCATCTGCTGGTTCACTCCCCAAATGGCCGCAACAGCCAGAGCTGTACCAATATGAAGCCAGGAGACAGGAGCTACTTCTGGGTCTCTCCCATGGGTGCAAGGGCCCAAGAACTGCTTTTTCGGGCCATAGTAGAAAGCTGGATCAGAAGTGGAGCAGCCAGGGCTTGAACCGGCACCTATATGGGATGCTGGCACTGCAGGCTGGGGCTTTACCCCCAGGGTTACTCTTCTTAGGAGAGTGGTACCAGCCTGCTGGGAAGAGGAAAGGTGGTGATGGCTCAAAGGAATTCAACAGTATCAAATGGCTTTGTGGCACCCCCTGGGCATTCACATACCACATCTGGGAGAAAACTGCTCCTAGAGCAAGACCTTGCAGGAAAACCTTCTATCCAATGTTTGAGGTGCTCATTTCACACGTCTGGAGGAAACTTTTGCTAAGACATGTGATTTTATTTCCTTGTCACTGCTCAGATCCTGAATGCTCACAGTCCCCACTCCCTCCCACTGTTCTGCCCAGAACCCTGTATCTTCAGCCTTCCCACACCAGAAGGCTCTGGTGAGGAGGCCTGAACACAGGCAATGGAGGGTGGAATGTGCCAGCATCTAGTAACAACTTTCAGAAAATGCAAGATGGAACATGAGCAAAAATAGAGATGTGTGTGGGGTGTGTGTGTGTGTTGTGTTATGTGTCACAGGATGTATAGGACAGCAGGCAGATGGAGAGCAGATAGTATAGTAGTGGAAAAGGCAGTGAATGTTGGTTCCAGTCTGAGCAAGTTGAAAATCGTTGGGCAAAACTGGAGGCTTGCTCTGCTCAGTCCAGAGGAAGCAGAAGAGAGACAGAAGCCAGGGTCCATGACTTGACAATTTAATTGCAGGATCTAGTCTTTTCACGCTCTCTCCATCTCTGTCTCTTTCTCTCTATCTCTGCCTCTCTTTCTTACTCTCCCATACATGCATGGGTGTGAATTCATGTTCTGAAGTAGAAAAACCACTGGGTGGCTCATAGAATCACCAGCAAGATAAGCACTAGGCCTTTCAAAGGACAGTAACAGAAAGCATAAGAGACAAAAATCATGACCCATGGCTGGCGACGCAGCTCACTAGACTAATCCTCCGCCTGCGGCTCTAATACTCCAGGTTCTAGTCCCGGTTGGGGTGCCAGTTTTGTCCTGGTTGCTCCTCTTCCAGTCCAGCTCTCTGCTGTGGCCTGGGAGGGCAGTGGTGGATGGCCCAGGTGCCTGGGCCCTGCACCTACGTGGGAGACCAGGAGGAAGAAGCGCCTGGCTCCTGGCTTCGGATCGGCGCAGCATGCCAGCCGTGGAGGCCATTTGGGGGGGGGGGTGAACCAAAGGAAGGAAGGCTTTTCTCTCTGTCTCTCTCTTTCTCACTGTTTAACTCTGCCTGTCACAAAAAAAAAAAAAAAAAAAAAAAAAACATGACCCAGAACCAGGCAACAAGGACGCCATTGTTGGTACCCTGCACTGTCCTGGACGTCACCCTCTGGCACAGCTGTCACACAGCTGCTAGTGCCTGGCTGCTGCTGACACCAGGACTAGGAAGCTTTACAAAGACCTGTCATACCTCTGTTGGGAGTCTTACAGGTGACACCAGTCCCCTGAGAACACAGCTGAGCAGGGGAGACCAGCTAAGTACAGCTTTGGGATTTTGATCTTCTGTTGGAAATGAAAGTTACAATCAAACCCTTGTGCTCACTAGACTCAGAGTATAGACCAGGAATTTAACATTCATTTTGCCCTGGCACACCAGCAAAGTTCCTTAAATTCCCACACAGACTGTGGGGAAATCTCTAATGTCTAAACAATGGATGGATTACTGGAATGTTTCACTTCTCACTCGGGTTCCACAGGGACAGTATCCTGAAAAGTGAACAGCCAAATGGAAAGCGCCTAGCAAGGGGGAGGAAGAAAGTCAAAGATTCAAGATCACGTGGCAGATGGAGATACTAGACCTTCCAGCTGTAGGCCCCAGTGCTTTGTTGGCTCTAGGCCATATAGTATTCTTCTTCTTCTTCGTTTTTTTTTTTTGTTTTGTTTTGTTTTGTTTTTTTTGACAGGCAGAGTGGACAGTGAGAGAGAGAGACAGACAGAGAGAAAGGTCTTCCTTTACCATTGGTTCACCCCCCCAATGGCCGCTGCTGCTGGTGCACTGTGGCTGGCACACCGCGCTGATCCAAAGCCAGGAGCCAGGTGCTTCTCCTGGTCTCCCATGTGGGTGCAGGGCCCAAGGACTTGGGCCATCCTCCACTGCCTTCTCAGGCCACAGCAGAGAGCTGGACTGGAAGAGGAGCAACTGGGACAGAATGCGTCGCCCAGACCAGGACTAGAACCCGGTGTGCCGGCGCTGCAGGTGGAGGATTAGCCTAGTGAGCCGCGGCGCTGGCCCTATAGTATTCTTCTTTAGACTGAAACCTAGACCCACAGGTAGGAGCTTCTGTTGCCCTCAAAGATGTAGAGCAGCATTGGAGGATGGGCTATACCAAGGTCAGGAGGCCCACCCCTCTCTGTGAACAGCTGGTTGGACGTTGCTGGTCTGTTAGAAACCACGCTGGGAGAGGAAACTGCCAGAGTCCTCGGAAGACAGTGCCTCCAGGCATCGCCCCATCCTGGAACAGTGCATAGCAAGACCCTGGAAAAAAAGGTGGAAGGAGAACTCTGTGTGTTCTGTCAACTGAAGGAAGGCAGACAGGCCAGGAATGGGTTTAGTATGGTAGACATTATGGGCTGAAATGAGTGGGCTTTCTGGTTTTGCCTCTTTGTAC